CCGCTTTTAACCCGCTATTCTTCCGCTTTCGCTTATTATTACGACAAAGCGCTTTTCTCCCTTTCCGTTCTTTTGGATCCATTATCCGCTTTTGCTCGCTTTCACCCACAATTCCGGCTTTGCTTTCAATATGGTCTTATATTGTCTTACATTACTACACAATTCTTTCAGAAAATTTCTCTACAATTTTCAAGTTTTCAATCAGATAAAATTTTCAAGTGTAATATTTTACCCACAGTTTCGGCTTCGCTTCTCTTTCAAACACAATATTGTGAATTAACTTCTCTTATATTTCATTTCATTTCATTTCATCATTTTTTTAAAGAAAATTTCACAACAATTTTTTTTTTAAAATCATAGAATTTTAAAGTGTTCATTTTACTTGCTTCACTATGTGACATAATTTGTTTCTTGTTTTTCTTGCCATGCAGTTTTAACTCTCTTTCCACTTTCCACCTGGTCTGCAGGTTTCATACAGTTGTATACACTTTTCTGTTTCCTGTAAAACAAATGATTGCATAATAGTAAACTTTATTTTTTCAATATAGGAAATAGCTTTTATTCATCGTACATGTAGTTCCATTTTTTCTACTTCTTTCTACTTGTCACACAAATCCACCACGTGACTACACCGGCTACACCGACAGCGCCGAACGCCAAAAAGCGCAGTTTGAACAGCCGGCACCAAGCCACACGGAAAAGCAACCGGTCAAAGCACCGAGAGCATCTGGGCATTGCACCCACCACCAAAAAACGCAGTTTAGACAGCCGGCACCAAGCCACCCGGAAGGAAACAGCAAAGCACCAATCACAAGCGAGATCACTAATGCCAAAGGCCGTCATTTCCTTCCTCCATCGGCTGGCCATGGCGGAGCACGGAGCTGAATGTCGCTGGCTGGCATCGCCACACCCAAGCGTGCTCGCTCGGTCTTGTCGCATCTCCATCGACGGAGAGGACAGTTATGCACATGCATCTGAAGGTAACTTCATTCATATATTTCACTCCACATCTTTTGTTTATCGCAAAGAGCGGCCATTCTATCAACCAGGGACGAAGCACGTTCCAAATCCCCTTGGCTATTTGCAAGTTCGGAATTTTCTTCACAGAAATTGTCACCCGTTTTTGCCGCTCTCTGGTGCACATTGCAAGTGTTTTCGTGGCGAAGAAGCAGGCAGCGTGCTCCCTGTATTCTTGTATGTATGTATGTATGTTTGTATGACAAATGCTTAACTTGACACACTGACCACGCCCTAGAACAGTATCTGTACCGTATTTCATCCAACAGAAGAACTGCTCTATGTTATCATTAATCAACATGCCCCATTCACCACACCCCTCAGTGTAAACAAATCTAAGTATTCAACTACCGTATTTCATCCCACAGAAGAACTGCTCTTTGTTATCATTAATCAACATGCACCATTTACCACACCCCTCAGTGTAAACAAATCAAGTATTCAACTACCGTATTTCATCCCACAGAAGAACTGCTCTTTGTTATCATTAATCAACATGCACCATTTACCACACCCCTCAGTGTAAACAAATCAAGTATTCAACTACGGTATTTCATCCCACAGAAGAACTGCTCTATGTTATCATTAATCAACATGCACCATTTACCACACCCCTCAGTGTGAACAAATCAAGTATTCAACTACCGTATTTCCCACAAAAACACGTCCCTTTATAATAAGTATTTGTTATACATAGTACTTTTTTCTGTTGGAAATGTATTTGTTCAAGGCCCCATCCCACATTCAAACTGATACTGGCGTCTCATTGCTGGAAATCTTGCTGACAGTAATTCTTTAAGCATGTATCACTTGTCTCAGCAATGGACAAAGGGGAACAACTCTGTCATTCTTCCAGGTTCAAGCAACTTAGCGTCACCTCATGACCAAATGCGTTTACCTCATTGGCTGATGCAGCTTTGTCAGCCTTGTTCTTATGAATACAAATATACTGACCCAAATCCCTTTGCTGTTTTCTGGTTTGTATTACAATTTATGGTCAAAATAAGGCCGCAATATAAGTCATGATGTAGGTAAGGTAATCTAGACTTTCCCCCTATCACGTACACACTTTGGGCGTAGTACCAGATCTAGTAGATATTGAAGCTTGTAAAATCAACATATAAACTACCTCCCTGGTTGTTGTACACATGGTGTCAGTTATCCCCTCTTTATCATCAGGTACATCAATTCAACTTCCCTTAGTCATTGTAATAAAATCTGTCCTGGGTGTATGGGAGACAACTCTGATTGTCTTGTTTAAATAGTGATTTGCAGGGCGCTTCAATTGAAAAGTAAAGTTATAATGTAATGCTTTTCACTCAAAATCCATTTATTATCATTCATGTCTAATTTCTTGATATTCATAATTGATCATTTTGGAGTATTATTCTGTAGTATATTTCCATGTAAAACACTTGATATTTCAAGTAGAGTTACTGTTAAACTCATTTCCAAGTACATGCTGCTTGAAGTATAGGTACTATTCTTGTACTGGGAATAATGGATAATACATTTTATTGATAGGATTTATGGTTCTCATGTTTTTTGAAAGTTAATATTGATCCTGGTCACCATTCTGTTTATCAATGACTATTGTAGAAGGGGCTCATGTCATCTAGACTAGTGTTGACATAAATAACAGAGAGAACTAAGTTGGTACATAGACACTTTATTGTAACTATGCCTATAATAGTCGATGAGTTGTATGTTGTATCTGTTGCGCCAAGTCACGTTGCAAACTTGATGACAATACAAGTTTTGTCAGGCATGTTGTTACGAATACAGAGATACTGACCCAGATTCCTTCGCTGTTTCAGTCATATGCATTCATTATGCCATCTATCTAAATTTCCAAGAAATTGATGTTTTTGGTGCTTACCAAGGTATCAGAGCATTAAGAGTTGTGGAGTAATTATGTTTGAACTTGTTTTGGCTGTGAATCACTTGTGCTCATTGTGTTGGACATTTTTGCAGACCCAAGATGGCTGTGCGGCGCCGACACAATCTCCTTACCACAGTCCCTGATATTTTCTTCTCTATGGAACATTGTGAAAGGTAGGAGATTTTAAACTTCAGTCTCATTTTACTCAATAATATTTTTTATGTGGTATACTGTATTTGCGGTATTAAGCACCCCACTCTATTAATGGCAGGCTTTTATCTTGGAATTCCAAACAATGTTCCGTTTGTTCCCTCGGCAGTCAATTTGGGAAAGGAATTGTACTATTGTTCCAAATTTGGGAACTTCAAATTGGAAAGTTGTACAGGCTTTTGTTGCAGACTTGTGGTCAAATATTGATTTACGTGACTGGTCCTTTTTTGTGTGTGTATATTACGGCAATGGTGAAGGAATAACTGTTATTGTCAACAATGCAGTTTACTGGGCCAGGTTTAATTAGCGCTAACTGGCTAAGGCCGCTGATTGTGGCACCCTCTTCACAGCTTTTGTGTTCCTCTTTCAGTCATTAGGACAAGTTGTGGTTGTGTTTGTGTTAGGGAAGGTTACCAGCAACTCTTTCTGATCAAGCATCCCTTTTCGATCATTGGTTAGGCACCCCTTTACAATCATTAGGGTTAGGTACCCCTTTACGATCATTAGGGTTAGGTACCCCTTTACGATCATTAGGGTTAGATAACCCTTTACAATTATTAGGGTTAGGTACCCCTTTATAATCATTAGGGTTAGGTACCCAGTTTCCGTCAAGCACCCCTTTACAATCATTAGGGTTAGCTGTGTGGTAGGGCATGGGTTAGCTATCTTTACGATCATTAGGGTTAGATAACCCTTTACAATCATTAGGGTTAGGTACCCTTTACAATCATTAGGGTTAGGTACTCCTTTACGATCATTAGGGTTAGGTACCCTTTACAATCATTAGGGTTAGGTACCTGGTTCCCATCAATCGCCCCTTTACAATCATTAGGGTTAGGTACCCCTTTACAATCATTAGGGTTAGCTGTGTGGTAGGGCATGGGTTAGCTATCTCTTTTAAGTGATCCAAAGTAATTTTTGGAAAATCCATTCCATTTTTATCAGGTTTCGAGCACCGTTGCGTCTCTGACAACAAATTTAACTCATGGTTGGTTTCAATAAGCGCCACACTTTGTCAATTTGCCAAGCTCCCGGGGTGCTAACTACAGCTAACATTTAGTTCTATGTTTATGTTTTTGTTTCAATTGTCTTGCAACCATGGCAACATATGATACAAAGTATTCCAGAGAATCTCTTCATTTTCAGGAGAAATCAAGAGTTTTTCCATAGCTTGGTAGACTTGCTTGGGAGATTTCAGTTGTTTCTTCTTCAGTGTCTGTAGGAGAGACGAGTGCTGTTGTTCCTGACAAAGTATGATACCAACATCTGAAGTGTTTTCAGCAGTACATGTCCATATACCTTGTCCCTATACCATGTACATATACCATGTCCATATACCATGTCCTTTTACCTTATCCATAACCCATGTCCATATACCATGTCCATATACCATGTCTATACCATGCCCAAGATTTGTTTATTTACTGGCGTGGTGATGCTGGAATATTGCTGACTACAGTGTTCAACTTTCATTCACTCACACATGCGCTTATAAGACTGGGAGAGAGCAAGGTCGGTGCTTCAATCCCCTGGTGGGACGGTAAAGGATGGTGCTTGTTGTTACCTTGCCTGGCACTCGGCATTAAGTCTAGACTAGTACAAGCAGCCAGTGTCTCAATTAGATCTTCTTCCTCATAGGTCAACTCTTTTCTCCTCGTTTCCACTTTTCACACAAACCCACCACATGTGGGCGTCCACCCAGCTCATGGTCTCCATTTCACCAAATACTGCACTTTCACAAGTCTCTTAGAATATGATTATTAGTTCTAATTGTAATTCCTTAAATACATCAATAATAAGAGCACATTGTGTTCCTGAAAGACTGGCCTCGTTGTAGACAAGTCCATTATAATCCATTATAATGTACTTATCATTCAGTAGAGACGTAGGGCAAGTCATACCGATCACCGGCCTTTCCGTAACCCGAAGTAGCAAGCACCAATCACAGGCGAGATCACAAACGGCCTCCATGAGCTGGCCATGTGCACATTTCTTGTGCCCAGCTTCACCAACATGCTGGTTCTGTCTGGTCAAATCTCCATCGAAGGTCAGGGACAGCTGTAAGTTCCTTCGTATATTTTACTTAACAGTTTGTATTTCTTGCATGTAGCTGCCATTCTGTCCAGTAGGGAGGAAGCATGTTGGAAATCATGTCACATGCCTTGGCCATTCGCAGGCCTCCAAGACATTGTCTCCTGTATTTGCCGCCCTCTGGTGCGTGTTCCAATTGTTTTTGTGGCGCGGAAGCAGGCCCCGTGCTTCCTGTATTCTTGTATGTATTATAAGTGTGTACCTTCACACACTGACCATGCCCAAACAGTGTAAACAAACCTAAGTATTCAACTACCGTATTTCTGACAAAAACAATTCCTTTATTATGAATATTCATTCATTATGCTCCATTTATTGACCAAGTTCTTTGTCTTTATTCCATTGCTGCTGTACAGGCCTGCTGACCCGATGTCACACAACCACGGCCCTCTCCCCCCTGGCTCCCACTCCCAAGGAAACAGTTCATTGTCTCATCTTTTTTATCTTTAAAATCTCTTCTTTTTTCTAAACACGTAACCTTAAAGTTAATAACGTTGTCCGCACTAGTCATTCGTGTTTGCAGTTGATTGTATCCATGGTGTCAGTACTGTAATTTTTCTAGTATCCTGAACGAGGAAAACTCCCATATTAACACCTTATTTATAAATTTCCATTAAATTCAATTTGTATAGTTTCTTTCTATCTTATCAGGGCATTAAGATTTGCATAGTAATTATGGTTTATCTTTCTTCCTTTGGCTGTCAATTAGTTGTGTTCATTGTGTTGGACATTGTTGCAGACCCAGACCAACATGGCTGTGTGGCCACTGACATCACCTCTCCACACATCCTTCTGACACAGCCTCCTGACACAGCCTTCTGACACAGCCTTCTGACACAGCCTCCTGACACAGCCTCCTGACACAGCCTCCTGACAGCACCTTGATATTTTCTTCAAGATGGAAGACTGTGTAAGGTAGGTGATTTTATACCAATGGTAGCAGCTGTATTCGCCATATTAAGCACCCTGCTCTAGTAATACATTCGCATGGTAAGGTACTGTTTTGTTTGTTTGTTTATTTTACATCAATATATTACTGTTATCAAACAAAGTTTGGTGTCACCAATGTTGGAACCAAGTTTCTACAACAAATTTAACTTGTGCCTGGTTTTTGTACCCACATTGTCAATTTTCCATGCCCCTGGGTCACTTATTATGGCGAATATGGTGCTAACATATTGCCTCTGAAATGAAAGTTGGTTTACATTTTGTTCGAATTCTTCTTTTTCAGGAAAATTCTATTTGCTTGGGAGATCTTGGATATATTTATTTCAGTACATAGTCTTATGAGACACTAGCCCTCTTGTACCTATCCAAGTATGTCAGAGTGGGTATATGTGTATATGGAAAAATGTCCATATACCATGTATACCAATGTTAAAATTGCTATATCAAACCATTACTATTGGGGCTAGCAAAGACTTGCTTCAAGTCTGTACTGAATAAGTCCATGGATGTGTAGTAATTCTAACCTTTTAATAGGCAAGTCTATGGGGACAGTACTCTAAGGATGCCAGTTGTTTATGGGGACACCTTCTTTTTGTTATTATATAATCTGGGAATTATGGTTGAAACTAATAATAATTGCCTTAGAGGCTTGTGTAGGTCTAGGGTTATCAGTCTAAATATTGTTGATAAAACTGGACAACATGTCCGTATACCCATGTGTATATTTCTATGTAATTTCATACTTTGAAGTTTACACTGTTTCTTTCTTGCTGATTGGCTGAAGGGGTAGTCATGTGATCTGATATTTGGAGTTCACACACCTGTGAACGGATGAAAAAGTTCACACGATGTGAAATTGATCATTGGAACTTTTGCCGGAACTACTTTCCGGGGTTTCCCCATATTCTCGATCGGTGTTTACGATCAAGTCGTTTTTCTATTTTCTTTTTAATACCTGCATTTATCAGCAAACTTCAGTGTGATGTTTCTTTGTATACACAGCTTGTATTCGTGTCACAGCAGATGTAGAGGGCGATTGGTGGCTGGTTAAAACATGAATTTATCTGAGTAATGCGCATGTGTCGTTGTTGATTGTCCTCGAGCCAAGCTTGTTGTTAATGGCCTCTATACGCTGAGACAACCCTTCATTGTTGTCAAGTAATAAAGATAATAGAGGATGTTAGCCGACTTATCCTTGATGACTTTCACAGACTTACTTTGACAGGATTGAAATATGTGGCAATCGGACATAAGTTGTGGAATTGATGTGATCGCTAGATGAGATGGAAATAATATCTGGTGGATTATCATGATGCTTTGCCAGCAGCTGGAGCACTGGAGTACTCTTTAACCACATGTGTCGCCAGGCTCCGTACCCACAGTTTCAGATCAACATTTAATCTCTGAAATAGAAATGGTTGAAGATTTTTGTGTTTTCTTTTAATAGATAATGGAAAGGAGCCCAGAGAATCTCTTCATTTTCTTAAACATGTTAAAGTGAGACATTCTAGACTTAAAGTATTGTTGATTTGGTGGTTTCGGGATAATTTTGTTTCATGGCCAATGCAAGAGACTACCAGTATTTGCTTGGCTAAACTTTCTAACCCACCTGACCCTTGGTTTTATTTGTTTTATGTTGCAGCTTATATTCAATCATCATTTTAGTAAGTCTAGGATCCTTCATAAAATATTACCCTGTGAAGTCCGAGGTTAGAATAGGCTTTCAGCAACACATGCTTCCCTTTTGCTTAAAAGGCAACTATGCTTATTGTAAAAATTAGAGGCGACTAACAGGATTGGGTGGTCTGAGCTCGCTGACTTGGTTAATGCATGTCATCGAATCCCAATTGTGTAGATCGATGCTTATGTCAATCACTGGATTGTGTGGTCCAAACTTGATAATTTACAGACCACCGTCATATGGCTGGAATATTGCTGAGTGCGGCGTTAAAAAGTAAACAGACAAACAAATCATAAACATATTCTAAGAGAGAAAATTCTCCTTTGAGTTAAGTAATTGAGGATGCTGGTGAAAGGCAGTTTTATGTACGGTGGATAAAAAATAATTTGATGTCCGTCCTTATAAAAACATTTCCGTTTCACACTTACTTATGTTTAAAAATAGATGACTAAAGGAAGTTGTTTTGATAAGAATCCCAGACAGCCAAATAAAATAGTCAAAGCCTAAGATGTTACATAGTAAACAGTGGTCTAATTAAGGGGAGTCCTGAAGGTGTTCTTCTATGGTATTTGACCCACTAAATCTTAACAAGTAATATCAGGGTCCTGACAAGGACCCATTGACTCAGGCTTGACACTGAATACTGGTAAATGTGAGGGGGGGTTATGTGTGAGTGTGAGGGAAGTGGGATTGTTTCTGTGTGTGTTGTGAGGGAGGGGGAGGTGACTGTCATGAAACTCATGCTGGGGGCTTCTTTTGTGGGAGGAGTGTGTGTGTGTGTGTGTGTGTGTGTGTGTGTGTGTGTGTGTGTGTGTGTGTTGTGGGGGAGGTGACTGTCATGAAACTCATGCTGGGGGCTTCTTTTGTGGGAGGAGTGTGTGTGTGTGTGTGTGTGTGTGTGTGTGTGTGTGTTGTGGGGGAGGTGACTGTCATGAAACTCATGCTGGGGGCTTCTTTTGTGGGAGGAGGGTGTGTGTGTGTGTGTTGTGAGGGAGGGGGAGGTGACTGTCATGAAACTCATGCTGGGGGCTTCCTTTGTGGGAGGAGGGTGTGTGTGTGTGTGTGTGTGTGGGGGGGGGGGGTGGGGGGTGGCGTGTGATAGCATGGACTTGTATATAGGTCTGTGATGATAGTTGTGAAACTGATGGGGGGAGGGGGGATGTCGATAGTTGTCAAACTGATGGGGGGGGGGGGGGTCAAAAGTTGTGAAACTGATGCTGGACTGAGTGCCAAGTGCAACATTTGTAGGACTTCCTTCGGGAGGGGTGAGGTGGGGGGTGATAGACTTGAAACTGATGCTGGACTGAGTTCCAAGTGCTACATGTGTAAGACTTCCTGAAGCACTCATTGGTTCTTACTGATTGGGTCATCTGTGAGGTCAGATGCAGGTCAGTCTCAATGACCAGTCCCTACATCCCGACATCCAGGCTAGCTGTCACCATGTTCGTGACACAACTGTGGACCTACAGGAACAGTCATACTGTAAACATAACCTGGCACAATGTGGACTAAAGTGAAAGATTTTGGAAAATATTTGCTCAAGATGGTGAGTTTGATGAACTTTCAGTCGATTTCACAACAATCTGTTAAAACTAGACTCTGATTAATCTGGATTTATGTCAATTCTGGACCACATTTATGGCCCAAATTTACTAACCCTAAGATAAATGATATTTTATTTATTTATTTATTTATTTATTTTTTTTATTATTTTTTTTAAAATTTTTTTTTTATTTATCTATCTCATGAGGCCTCTGTCTACATAGGAATAAACTGTCACAAAACATGCATGAGTCCTGTTTAGACTGATTCCACTGTAGAATGTCAGATGGGTTTACAGGACTTTACTGTAGTTGAGGGTTTGACACTGATTGATGATGGTTGTGTGGGGCTCCAATTGTTGTAACGTGCTCATTACCCCTGATTTGTGATGGTACAAGAATTCTGAAATCCATATACCTAAAGACAGACCAAGATAGATTATATCACAATAATGTTGCCAAGGCGATTAATCAAAATTTGAAACATCTGTATCTGGATGAGATCGGAGAAATAAATATTACCATCAGTATTGGCTACAGCCGCCTCCCCAGTACCATGTGGTCGGTAATTCTTCAGCGCATAGCGTAAATAATCTTGTATGTCTTCCTTCATATCTGTCTGTCATCTGTAAACAATGGTTCAGCGTTGAAAACATTACAGCACAATAAAACCCTATAAAGTAAACACAAAACTAACAATGTCCTCTTCATCATTTTTGGCAGAAGTGCAGATGAGCAACATTCTCTAATTCTGAAGGGCGGTCGGTAGTCTAGTGGTTAAAGCGTTCGCCGTCATGCAGATGACCCGGGTTCGATTCCCGACATGGGTACAATGTGTGAAGCCCATTTCTGGTGTCCCCCGCGTGATATTGCTTGAATATTGCTAAAAGCGGAACAAAACCATACTCACTCACTCACTCACTCTAATTCTGATTCTAGCAAAGCTTATCACATAGCCGAAATAGTAAACTTTATGTCTCGGAAATAGACACAATATTGTTATCTAAACCAGGGTCTACCAAGTATTATTCAGGCCAGTGTAAAATATATCTGAGATGTGGGGACTGGTCGCCCAGTAAGCTGCAATTTGCTGTATGTCAGGGGCATCACGTAGGTGTGCCAGAGTTCTAATTATCCGGGTTTGAATCTCAGAAATAAACCCTGATTATGGTTCATGGTTTGTCATCAAAATACCCCATCGCCTGGTGTTTCATCAAGGTAGTAATGCCAAAGACCTGTGTTTCCTCCCACACCGTGTCGTGATGGAACGTACATACTGTTCAAAGCCATCTTCCCGAGGCAGGGTGTTGACTGACTATAAAAGTCCAATTTCCACCTTTGCCGAACTAGGTTGCAGTTTCGTGGCTCGATTGTAGCGCCACCAGTGGCTATTACAAGTTATGTCACTTCTATGTCCCTCCTTTTGACAAATCACATTCCACCTATCATAATATTTGCATTTGCTTGAAACAAAATGGCGGCACCCAGTCAGAATGATCTGATCGATAATCCAGATCTAGATCGTAATAAAACAAGTCTTTAACCTCCCAAAGTGCATCCAATTATTTGAGCACCTTGATTAAAAACATGAAAAGGTTTGGAAAATATCTGTCAACTCCGAGTTGACGGTACACATGCTTTGCAAATACTGCAATGGACCTAAATCGCACGGAAGTTTACGAAGCGGGTGTTGATTTCGTTACGAGATTTTGATTCGACTATGCATAGACTCGTTAGTCGAGCCA